AACACACACAACCTGAACCTAAAAACAGCGTTTATGTGGGCCGTCCCTAATATCTTTGATAAGGCCGGGAAATTGCTACTACTGTATCACCCAGGAATCCGAAAACAAGTGTTGGAGTGTATGTGCTAGTATCTACTTTGCAGTGTGAACTTTCTGAACTGATCTCGCACCCGGTCTTTTAAATTTCGTCTTTACTGACGTCGGAGCAAAGGCTGGAAAAATAATGGCTACCCTATTGGTGCTTCACTGATGTTGGCGAATCGAATGACAATGGTGATGGAAGAGCTCGAGATTAACGATCGCGCCCAACCCGGACCATCTCAGTTCCCTGACGTATTAATGTTCAATCACAGGCACTATGAATGTGTGCATGAATTCGCACATGTGCATTCTTCTCGCCAGAAGGTGCCTCTGATGATGTGGGGAAGATACATTCTCTCTATAAACGACAGGATGATGGCAGCTTGGGAAAGCAAGAGTAGGGAAGGGAGAAGATTGAAATGAGGAATAGACGAAGAGTTGTTACCGCGAGAATCACGATTATGCGGGGCCCGTTTAGCCCCTAAACCCAACATGGACGCATTGTGGTGAGGATACTACAGCTCCCACGCGTGTGCAGCGGCAGCTAGTATGGAAGTCATCATCGAGCAGTTCGCTTTGTGAGTTCAAGTATCTGGTATTTGGACAACATGGAGTGCGTGGGTATACAGTATTGCCCTACGGCAGCCACGGACATGTTTTTGCGGGTAAGTTGCCCATGGGGAATGCAGCCTTGACGTGCTATGGAATGTATGCAACTATGAATTCACGGGGTATATTCGCCAAAACGGCATTTGATCCTCGGAACGGTAGTTGTCGAAACGGACAATCCATGGTCAGAGTATCGCCTTCTGACTTACCGCAACTTCCTCGTGAGCGACTTTCGTCGTCCTTCACATGATGCCAGCATTGACCGATGCAAGGCGATCTTACCGCCATCCTAGAATGCCGCTCTCAAAAACTGAATATTTTATACAGAGATGCATGGAATTTCTAATACGCATCGAGTACACGAGAACCCCGAAAGAGCTCCATTCATGCCCGGAAACATCGGTGCACTCTTAAGCCAATAACCGTGTGCATTGTCCCCAGTTCCAGTGAGATCAATGATTGTAACACCCAGGAAAGAGAAAGTTCATCTAACTTTGGAACCTCTCTATTCATTACTGTGGTACGAAAGGTGTTGTCATGAGGACTCACGAACGCTTTCGCAACTGATTTTCAACCATCGTATTCAGTATCTCAGACAACTCAAGTTATGACATCGCTTTGGGCGCCTAGTTGTGCATATCTGTAGCAGCGGGCACTGGTTGCCGAATGATATGTCGTGACGCTACCGCTGCCTGTCTTCAGCGCGTTTGCGTGGAGGAGGACCGTATCGCACTTCGTATTCTTCCTGCTCGGCGGCAACCGTGGCCAGTCGCAATCGACGTGAAAAGCAAGCCGCCATGCCTTGGGCGGTGTCGGCGGTAGCGCTTCCATTTGCTTCGCGTCGAGTTTTGGTTAATCGGTTTTCAAAGGCCTTTAGATGCTGGAATATGTCGCTCTCGTCCTGTCTACGTCTTCGCTTTCGTCCTGTAACGTTAATAGCATCTGGCTGTCCAGGAGTGTTATTGCCATTCGAGGCAATCTCTTCCGCACCTCTCTCACCTTCAGTGGGAGCTTTTGCCTTGCTGTCTGTGATTAGTTGCGCTTTGATGCGTTCAAACTCTTCCTCCAACTGACGCTTTTTACCAGCGGCGTCAGGATATAGAGGCGTTTTTGGGGTTGCCTTTTCATTTTTTCCCACTTGACCTCCGGCCCCAACCTGGTCTGAGGGACCCACACTCTGTTTTGATATGGTTGAAGATAACTTGCGTTCCTGGACAGCCTGCGGTCGCACCACCTTCTGTCTTCGACGCGCAGGAGCTCTCACCTGTGGATAAAGTTGGTCGTCGCTGTCCGAATCCAATTCGTCCTGAAAAGATAAGAGCGTGTTGCTCTTGACAGCCTTCTTCGCCGTGGGAACTACTCTCGTCAGCGATTTGGCAGGCTCCTTCGTTGGCTTGCTCCGAGGAGCAGTTTTCAGATCAGGAAATGGGTTCTCCGTGACCTCCATAGACTTCACCTTCGGCAAGTTGTCGCCCTCAAACGCGTCCACCTTCCTCGCCGACAACTCCAGCAAGTTGAAGATAGAATCCCCTTGCACCTGCCCGAAGATAGTGTGTTGACCATCAAGCCACGGTGTGGGCGCCAACGTGAGGAAGAACTGCGAGCGCGCCTTTCCTTCCTCGTCCGCCACCATCGCAGCAATGCCGCGGCGCCGGAACTTGAGCCGGCCATGTTGCTCGCGTGGATACCCGTCAGGATCACCGATGGCGGCGACGCCGCCACTCCCAGAGCCCGAGGGATCGCCCGTTTGCGCTAGTTCGCCGGGCAGCACTCGGTGAAACGGCAGGCCGTCGTAGTAGCCGTTGAGCGCGTGTTGCACAAAGTTGCGCGCTGCCACCGGCGCCTCGTCGCTGTACAGGAATAACTCGACAGGGCCTTGCGTGGTGTGTAGAATCACGCGGCCGCGCGTGCGCGGCTCTAGAGAGTAAACGTTGGACATTGGCTCACGTCGGAGAAGAGCACCCGCTTGTCACCAGGATGCGTGTCCTCGTTGACGGAAACGCGGGAGGTGACGGGAAAGGGGCGCGGGGTTCCGCGCTACCTCGTCATCCCGTCGGAGCGGGAACTCGTAAGTCGGCAGTCTTGTTCAGTGGCGATGGGCCGGGAGTGCCGGGTGAGTGGGACAGGACACGGACGAGGCGCAGGAATGGGGCCCCGCGACGTTTCTAAAGATGACTTAAACAAAAACTCGAAATATTTCAAGGTCGTGTCGTGGGCACTGTACCCTTGGTACTGTTGTGCGCACTGTTGTGAATAAACGACTTGGGTAGGTAATTTTATTCAAATGCAATAAACGACTTTCGAGCTCTACATATTCTGTTGGATATCGCTACTACATATACTGTGCACATCCCTCTCCACCTGTCTCCTGGCCAGGGGGCACTCCCTTTTACCACATATTCATTACAGCTACGGGATGTCAAGAGGCGTGAGACGCACACACAGTAAAGAACAGTTCAGGATCAGACGTGTAAATTGCACTAGAATCCGACTGTACACATCGTTAGAAAAATAAAGGAGTACACATCGGGGTACTTGCATTCGGAAGTAATGTGTATTGAAGAAGATGCTTGCATTCAGGAGGAATCCAAGCGCAGTTTTATACTTATTACCAATTATTATAAAAGCTCAAAGTGAGCATGACCGTGCTTGCCGGTAGAAGCACGATGCCCCGTAGGCTGACCTGAGCACGGAGGGAGAGGGTCCAGAGACTCTATATATAGTTGACGGTTGACCCCAGGGTAGATGCGGGGGCAACCAAGAGACGAGGAGAAAGTACGGTAGTGGACCTGACAGACTAACAAAGACTTTTCATCTAGGAGACTGCTGCTGGCACCAGCAGTCTCCGGGCAATTGTGCTCTCCCACCGTGTTTGTGGAGTAGGACCCTATCAACAGTAACCACTTGTCCTTCTACCGGCTCACCTAAGATGTCGAGATCAGGACGTTTCACAACTGTACAGCGAGGACAGCGCTAGCCCTAAGCGACTGGCAGTGTCCGCGGCGGTGCGCCGCCGGCCGCCGATCGGTAGGGTAGTGGGAATTTACTGGGTACAGGGGGGGTCGCTCAATAGTGCCTACTTTAGTAGTGCTTCCCTCTATATAGTGCTATGACTCACCCACTGGCACAGGTTATCATAAGCTCACACGTGTATCATCCGGCATGGTTCAGTACTCAAAGGATGAAGTTATTTAGTTGTGTTTATGTTAGCAGTGTGCTTTGTCCCCAAATATATGTATTTGAGCCTCCTTTATATAGTGCCATCCCCCCAATAGTGCCATAGCTAGAGGTTTAAGTACCAAATCAAGGGGAAATTGGAGAAACTAGAGATTCGGGGGTTACTCATGCACTCAGAAGAGAAGACCCCTGGTGGCTTTGTCGCCTTGGACTTCGCCTCGCTCAATCACCTCCGTTCCACTCCCTCTGCTGCGACCGTTCAGGGAAACTGACCCTCAGCTTCCGCTCGAGTCTGAGTTCACCCCCCGTTGCCCTTAGTCTCCGTTACGAGACTCTCACGCGTTTGCATGGAATCTCGGCAGCAGGGATCTGTATCCAACGTCAACGCCCCCACGCGTCAAGGATGACCAAACCTATTGCCACTTGAGCGCGTAAGCGCAATGTCCGCATGGGCGATTCCCCCATTTGCTTGCTCCTCTTCTCTCCCTCAGGAGAAGCGGCTATGTCTCTCCACGGCCGTCCAGGCGATGCACATATGTCTCTACGCACCGCGCGTATGTGCTTTGACCAAAACGGACGCCTCTCCCGTGAGTGCAGCGGACGTCGCCATCCAAGCGACTGTCACACGCTCGCTCCGAGCCGCCTTCCCGCAGGACGCACTCATCGCCGAAGAGGACCGTGACGTGGTGCTCGCCGATCTCGCTTTGACGTTAGCCGCACAGGAATTGCTGACGTTTGACGTGGCCGGCGCTCTTCAGGAGACGGACAGAGACGGGCATGGGCGATGCTGGACGCTCGACCCCATTGATGGGACTAAGGGATTTTTGAGCGGGCGCGGGTATGCTGTCGGATTGGCTTTGCTGGCAGAGGCTGGAGCGGAAGGCGCGCCAGAGCCTTTATTGGCGGCCTTAACGTTGCCGAGTGAGGGGATTGCACTGCTTGCGGAGCCGGGCATGCGTGAGCTGCATGTGTATGCATTGGATGGGGCGCTTGCCAAAGAGACGTTAGGCTCTGCTTTGGACATAGACCGCTTCAAGCCAAGGCGCTTGAAGAAGCGTCATCCGGGGATGGAGCATGTATGGCTTCTATCAGGAACCGAGGACCTGCATCTCTCCGGGCGACCGCCTTGGACACATCTATGCTGTGGCAGTCTTGTCAAATACGCAGCGGTAGCTCGCCAGCGCGCGTTCGCCTTTGTGCAAGTGTTGCCCGAGCGACACGCGCACGTGTGGGACCACGCGGCCGGTATCGCGTGCGTGCTTGCGGCTGGTGGGAGGGTCACGGATGAGATGGGAGGGGAGGTGTTGCTCGGATGCGGACAGCGGAAAGACGCGCTGAAGCTGCAGAGTGGCGATGCCATCGTGGCGACAGGGAAGGCGGTGAGTCATCAGCGGGTTTGCGAGGAAGTGCGCGCAGCGCTGATGGGGTGAGGAAGGTCGGCGGTTTTGGTCGCTGAAGTGATTTAAGCGCATGGAAGGGAAGATGGGAGCGCATGTCCGGGGCATCTGATACAGAAGTTATCTTTTCCGGCCCAATGGCCTAGGGGCAACGGGAACGGGGCGAGTAGTTTCGTTGTTTGTGCTGGTAAACTTACTTGCTCGAAGGATACCGGGCCACATCATAGGCTTTGAAGATGTTCGCTGGGACGCAGGATTTTCAGGCTTTGAGGATAGACGTGTCGATGGCGTGGACGAAACGAAAGAGGCCGATGCCGCACCATAGCTTTCACAACTTGTTCATGCATCTTTGAAGGTCAGAAGTTTTGAGGAGCGAAGCAGAATGACTCCCCGGAGAGTTACCTATAGAGTGAGTTGAAGTGGAGCCGACTGAGGTCGACAGTGTTGGTGGCAGCAGAAATAGTAGCAGCTGGACCTCTTCGGGCTTAAACGGGTAAAAGGGGAAGCCCCTTCTTCACCGTCAATATCGCAGGATCATGATCAGGTCGCGTTTTTGATCTGAGGCATAACCACGACTTGCAGTAGCGGTTGCAATGCCGTTGAGAGCGAGCAGGCGGATGGGCCAGAAGTGGACAGTCATAACCGTGGCCCCGTTCGTAAAGCCTTGGTTCGCTATAGGAACAAGCGCCTGGACGAGCTTGCACCTTTCGTCCGAAACCTCTATCTCGAGATCCCCTGCCCTCTCGACCTCCATTCCGTCGATCCATATACCTATAGTATACCTGTAGTAGACAGGAACGTGCGTAATCTGTTTACAACGCACTAGGTACAAAAGCAGTGAGTGTTCTTACGATTGCTATATACATAAAGGAAAACATTGCCACCCGCTCGTGTTTGCGCGTCTTCAAAATTGCGCTCTTTGTAAGCCCACTATTAGTGCGAGCAGGCAGCTCCGTTTCCAGCCCTCCTTCACATGAGCTTCCCCGTTTGGGATTTGCGCATCGCTCGGAGTACGACGTCATCCATGAAAGTCGACAGCATAGACGATACGGTGAACACGCCCCCAATGATGGCGCATAGTTGCACGACAAAGTGAAAAAATGACTTTCGTGATTCCGCCACCTCCACGTGAATCGGGCTCAAGTCGTAGCTCAAAAATAAGCCCGGAATGAGCTGGCCGCCCTTGTTTGGATCGCTCCGTCGGAAAAAGTACGACTGGGAATATTGGTTGGTCCTCAGCGGACTCGAAAATAAGTACTTGTACGTAGTGGGCACAATGCGAATGAAGTACTCATGCTGCCCTAGCTTATCGTCCTCCGTGGTCGCATGCTTCTCGGCGCCATCCAAGGGGTTGGTCTGCCCTGGGTACGGATCGCCGAAGCTGAGCTTTCTAATCTTGTGACTCAAATCCAATTGATGGTCCCGCAAAGCGCTCAAGTCATGCAATGTCCTACCATGAAACTCAAATGAATGACCCGGGGTAACATGGATACGGCCGGCGACCTTGGAGATCTCGATAAAGCCGTGGACGTTGCAGCCGCGCTCCGGGTCATACTCGCCGGCCGTGATGGTCGTAATCCCCTCGCGCACGCACTGCGGGACGTGCTTCAGATCGACGAGCAGCCAGCCTCTTTTCTCATACGCGGCCTTCACCTCGGCGCACGTGTTGCAGCACTGATCGGCGGCCAGCTGAGCGCCCATGCACGAGCCGCATCCGTTCTTCCACGGGGACGGGGACGGGACGGCGTTGGGGGCGCTCTGCTTGGCGGCGTGGCGCGCCAGCCTGGTGCGGTCGGCGCTCGAGATCGGGCGGCCCTTGTGGTCGATGGGGGTCTTGAACATGTGGTTGGTGATCTCGAGCTGGGCCGTGCCGCCCACGTCCAGGGCGTCGACGCCCATGATCTCGCAGTTGACGAACGGGAAGTCCACGTCCAGGTGGATGCGCAGCAGCTCGTCGCGGCCCGCGTCCACGGAGAGAGATGTTGTGCGCTCGGGGGTGAGGTAGGATAGCAGCTCGGAGAGGAAGAGACATGAGATGACAAGGAGAGAGATCATGGACACTAGCCCGCCTGTTGACGACTGCGTGCGCAGATCCTCCGGGACCTTCATCATGCGGGAGAAGCAGTCGAACGAGCGCAGCTCACGCATGTAGCGCGAGGGCTTGGAAAGGGAAGGGGGTGTCATGGTGAGGGCGGCCGGGACGGGGTGGCGGGGCGGAGGTGCTAGATTCGGGGGAAGCGGGGTGGGAGGTGCGGGGGGGGTTTGCTCGTGTGGAGGGGGAGGGGAGTTGCCTTTCTGCAAAGTTAGTTTGGGTGCGGAGTTGGAGGGGAGCCGGTCATGACACTTCCTCCACGCCCTCGACAACGACGATGATTAAATGGTACAGTGCCCAAGGGTAGCGTGCGTGCCCGACACTACAGCACCGCACCGGCAGTAATTACGAGCAACTCTCCCCGCTTTCCGTCCAATCACACCGCCTTAATATATATCCCGTCCACCCAAATCATACCAAGTGGCCCAATCCGCAGTGCGCAGCACCCCCTCATCATAACTCCGTCTCCTCCCCCTCCGCGTTTTGAGATCACCATCGCCGACGTTGCACACACCCCCCCCGCTGGAAGATGAAACCCGCCTTTACGACTTGATCAGTGATCCGGGCCAGACGGCCGCGGTCGAGGATACCGATGTCGAGCAGCGCATGATCACGTCGATGAAACAGCTGATGAGCGACCTGTCAGCGCCGCCGGAAGCCTTCGAACGGGTATTTCCTGCGGAGGGAATCGCGGTCAGAGAGCCTTGACGATGGCAGCGAAGCGCCAGACGGTGGTGCAGGCCATCGCAATCGACAGGCATCGCAGCATGGGGAACCCCAGGCAGCTGGCCTCGGTACGAGCGCTGCGTCTGGAGGACGGCGCGGAGGGCGG